TGGCTTTCACCCACGCGACCCGGGTTCGAGTCCCGGTTTGGGAATTTTGCTTTCTTTTTCAATTTTTCGCTCCGCCATGTATATAGCGCTCGTTGTGCTTGCTGGTACGACGTTCGGATGACTGTATGGCCGGTGATGGAGAGTAGCTCGGCTTAGCACTCGCAGGGGCAACGACCAGCCGGTGGGTAAGCGTGGCGAGAACGGCGGGTATCTAATTCAGGTTTAAAACAACAGCTCCTGCGTGGTAAAGTTCTTTGAAGGTGCTCAATGCAAAGTTGAAGGCGGCAATGCGCGTGGCCTTGGTGTGGTGCGCTTGGTTGTGTGTGAGTATGCGTGTGTTTGGCGTTTGTTCGGCGTTTGGTTGGCGTTTGTTTTGGTTAATAGAAGGTGCTCCCAAATAGTCTAGGCGATTAGGATACGTGGCTTTCACCCACGCGACCCGGGTTCGAGTCCCGGTTTGGGAATTTTGCTTTGCTTTTTCAATTCTTCGTTCCGCCATGTATATAGCGCTCGTTGTGCTTGCTGGTACGACGTTCGGATGACTGTATGGCCGGTGATGGAGAGTAGCTCGGCTTAGCACTCGCAGGGGCAACGACCAGCCGGAGGGTAAGCGTGGCGAGAACGGCGGTATCTAATTCAAGTTTATAACAACAGCTCCTGCGTGGTAAAGGTCTTTGAAGGTGCTAAATGCAAAGTTGAAGGCGGCAATGCGCGTGGCCTTGGTGTGGTGCGCTTGGTTGTGTGTAAGTATGCGTGTGTTTGGCCTTTTGTTTGTCGTTTGTTTTGGTTAATAGAAGGTGCTCCCAAATAGTCTAGGCGGTTAGGATACGTGGCTTTCACCCACGCGACCCGGGTTCGAGTCCCGGTTTGGGAATTTTGCTTTGCTTTTTCAATTCTTCGTTCCGCCATGTATATAGCGCTCGTTGTGCTTGCTGGTACGACGTTCGGATGACTGTATGGCCGGTGATGGAGAGTAGCTCGGCTTAGCACTCGCAGGGGCAACGACCAGCCGGTGGGTAAGCGTGGCGAGAACGGCGGTATCTAATTCAGGTTTAAAACAACAGCTCCTGCGTGGTAAAGGTCTTTGAAGGTGCTCAATGCAAAGTTGAAGGCGGCAATGCGCGTGGCCTTGGTGTGGTGCGCTTGGTTGTGTGTAAGTATGCGTGTGTTTGGCCTTTTGTTTGGCGTCTGTTTTCATTAATAGAAGGTGCTCCCAAATAGTCTAGGCGGTTAGGATACGTGGCTTTCACCCACGCGACCCGGGTTCGAGTCCCGGTTTGGGAATTTTGCTTTGCTTTTTCAATTCTTCGTTCCGCCATGTATATAGCGCTCGTTGTGCTTGCTGGTACGACGTTCGGATGACTGTATGGCCGGTGATGGAGAGTGGTTCGGGTTAGCACTCGCAGGGGCAACGACCAGCCGGAGGGTAAGCGTGGCGAGAACGGCGGTACCTAATTCAGGTTCACAACAACAGCTCCTGCGTGGTAAAGGTCTTTGAAGGTGCTGGATGCAATGTTGAAGGCGGCAATGCGCGTGGCCTTGATGTGGTGCGCTTGGTTGTGTGTGAGTATGCGTGTGTTTGGCCTTTTGTTTGGCGTTTGTTTTGGTTAATAGAAGGTGCTCCCAAATAGTCTAGGCGGTTAGGATACGTGGCTTTCACCCACGCGACCCGGGTTCGAGTCCCGGTTTGGGAATTTTGCTTTGCTTTTTCAATTCTTCGTTCCGCCATGTATATAGCGCTCGTTGTGCTTGCTGGTACGACGTTCGGATGACTGTATGGCCGGTGATGGAGAGTAGTTCGGCTTAGCACTCGCAGGGGCAACGACCAGCCGGTGGGTAAGCGTGGCGAGAACGGCGGTACCTAATTCAGGCTCACAACAACAGCTCCTGCGTGGTAAAGGTCTTTGAAGGTGCTGGATGCAATGTTGAAGGCGGCAATGCGCGTGGCCTTGATGTGGTGCGCTTGGTTGTGTGTGAGTATGCGTGTGTTTGGCCTTTTGTTTGGCGTTTATTTTGGTTAATAGAAGGTGCTCCCAAATAGTCTCGGCGGTTAGGATACGTGGCTTTCACCCACGCGACCCGGGTTCGAGTCCCGGTTTGGGAATTTTGCTTTGCTTTTTCAATTCTTCGTTCCGCCATGTATATAGCGCTCGTTGTGCTTGCTGGTACGACGTTCGGATGACTGTATGGCCGGTGATGGAGAGTAGCTCGGCTTAGCACTCGCAGGGGCAACGACCAGCCGGAGGGTAAGCGTGGCGAGAACGGCGGTGTCTAATTCAGGTTTAAAACAACAGCTCCTGCGTGGTAAAGGTATTTGAAGGTGCTGGATGCAAAGTTGAAGGCGGCAATGCGCGTGGCCTTGGTGTGGTGCGCTTGGTTGTGTGTGAGTAAGCGTGTGTTTGGCCTTTTGTTTGTCGTTTGTTTTGGTTAATAGAAGGTGCTCCCAAATAGTCTAGGCGGTTAGGATACGTGGCTTTTCACCCACCGCGACCCGGGTTCGGAGTCCCGGTTTGGGGAAATTTTGCTTTGCTTTTTTTCAATTCTTCGTCTCCGCCATGTAATATAGCGCTCGTTGTGCTTGCTGGTACGACGTTCGGATGACTGTATGGCCGGTAATGGAGAGTAGTTCGGCTTAGCACTCGCAGGGGCAACGACCAGCCGGTGGGTAAGCGTGGCGAGAACGGCGGTATCTAATTCAGGTTCACAACAACAGCTCCTGCGTGGTAAAGGTCTTTGAAGGTGCTGGATGCAATGTTGAAGGCGGCAATGCGCGTGGCCTTGATGTGGTGCGCTTGGTTGTGTGTGAGTATGCGTGTGTTTGGCCTTTTGTTTGGCGTCTGTTTTGGTTAATAGAAGGTGCTCCCAAATAGTCTAGGCGGTTAGGATACGTGGCTTTCACCCACGCGACCCGGGTTCGAGTCCCGGTTTGGGAATTTGGCTTGGTTTTTCTATTCTTTCTTCTGCCCTGGATATAGCGCTCGTTGTGCTTGCTGGTACGACATTCGGATGACTGTATTGCCCGTAATGGAGAGTAGTTCGGCTTAACACTCGCAGGGGCAAAGACCAGGCGGAGGGGTAAGCGTGGGGAGAACGGCGGTATCTAATTCTGGTTCACAACAACAGCTCCTGCGTGGTAAAGGTCTTTTGAAGGTGCTGGATAGTATGTTGAAAAGCGGCAATGCGCGTGGGCTGATGTGGTGCGCTTGGTTGTGTGTAAGTATGCGTGTGTTTGACCCTTTTTGTTTTGTCGTTTGGTTTGGGTTAATAGAAGGTGCTCCCAAATAGTCTAGGCGGTTAGGGATACGTGGCTTTCAACCCACGCGACCCGGGTTTCAAGTCCCGGTTTGGGAATTTTGCTTTGCTTTTTCAATTCTTCGTTCCGCCATGTATATAGCGCTCGTTGTGCTTGCTGGTACGACGTTCGGATGACTGTATGGCCGGTGATGGAGAGTAGCTCGGCTTAGCACTCGCAGGGGCAACGACCAGCCGGTGGGTAAGCGTGGCGAGAACGGCGGTACCTAATTCAGGCTCACAACAACAGCTCCTGCGTGGTAAAGGTCTTTGAAGGTGCTGGATGCAATGTTGAAGGCGGCAATGCGCGTGGCCTTGATGTGGTGCGCTTGGTTGTGTGTGAGTATGCGTGTGTTTGGCCTTTTGTTTGTCGTTTGTTTTGGTTAACAGAAGGTGCTCCCAAATAGTCTAGGCGGTTAGGATACGTGGCTTTCACCCACGCGACCCGGGTTCGAGTCCCGGTTTGGGAATTTTGCTTTGCTTTTTCAATTCTTCGTTCCGCCATGTATATAGCGCTCGTTGTGCTTGCTGGTACGACGTTCGGATGACTGTATGGCCGGTGATGGAGAGTAGCTCGGCTTAGCACTCGCAGGGGCAACGACCAGCCGGAGGGTAAGCGTGGCAAGAACGGCGGTATCTAATTCAGGTTCACAACAACAGCTCCTGCGTGGTAAAGGTCTTTGAAGGTGCTGGATGCAATGTTGAAGGCGGCAATGCGCGTGGCCTTGATGTGGTGCGCTTGGTTGTGTGTGAGTATGCGTGTGTTTGGCCTTTTGTTTGGCGTTTGTTTTGATTAATAGAAGGTGCTCCCAAATAGTCTAGGCGGTTAGGATACGTGGCTTTCACCCACGCGACCCGGGTTCGAGTCCCGGTTTGGAAATTTGCTTTGCTTTTTCAATTCTTCGTTCCGCCATGTATATAGCGCTCGTTGTGCTTGCTGGTACGACGTTCGGATGACTGTATGGCCGGTAATGGAGAGTAGTTCGGCTTAGCACTCGCAGGGGCAACGACCAGCCGGAGGGTAAGCGTGGCGAGAACGGCGGTACCTAATTCAGGCTCACAACAACAGCTCCTGCGTGGTAAAGGTCTTTGAAGGTGCTGGATGCAATGTTGAAGGCGGCAATGCGCGTGGTCTTGATGTGGTGCGCTTGGTTGTGTGTGAGTATGCGTGTGTTTGGCCTTTTGTTTGGCGTTTGTTTTGGTTAATAGAAGGTGCTCCCAAATAGTCTAGGCGGTTAGGATACGTGGCTTTCACCCACGCGACCCGGGTTCGATTCCGGTTTGGGAATTTTGCTTTGCTTTTTCAATTCTTCGTTCCGCCATGTATATAGCGCTCGTTGTGCTTGCTGGTACGACGTTCGGATGACTGTATGGCCGGTGATGGAGAGTGGTTCGGCTTAGCACTCGCAGGGGCAGCGACCAGCCGGTGGGTAAGCGTGGCGAGAACGGCGGTACCTAATTCAGGCTCACAACAACAGCTCCTGCGTGGTAAAGGTCTTTGAAGGTGCTGGATGCAATGTTGAAGGCGGCAATGCGCGTGGCCTTGATGTGGTGCGCTTGGTTGTGTGTGAGTATGCGTGTGTTTGGCCTTTTGTTTGGCGTTTGTTTTGGTTAATAGAAGGTGCTCCCAAATAGTCTAGGCGGTTAGGATACGTGGCTTTCACCCACGCGACCCGGGTTCGAGTCCCGGTTTTGGATTTTTGCTTTGCTTTTTCAATTCTTCGTTCCGCCATGTATATAGCGCTCGTTGTGCTTGCTGGTACGACGTTCGGATGACTGTATGGCCGGTGATGGAGAGTGGTTCGGCTTAGCACTCGCAGGGGCAACGACCAGCCGGAGGGTAAGCGTGGCGAGAACGGCGGTATCTAATTCAGGTTCACAACAACAGCTCCTGCGTGGTAAAGGTCTTTAAAGGTGCTGGATGCAATGTTGAAGGCGGCAATGCGCGTGGGCCTTGATGTGGTGCGCTTGATTGTGTGTGAGTATGCGTGTGTTTGGCCTTTTGTTTGGCGTTTGTTTTGGTTTAATAGAAGGTGCTCCCAAATAGTCTAGGCGGTTAGGATACGTGGCTTTCACCCACGCGACCCGGGTTCGAGTCCCGGTTTGGGAATTTTGCTTTGCTTTTTCAATTCTTCGTTCCGCCATGTATATAGCGCTCGTTGTGCTTGCTGGTACGACGTTCGGATGACTGTATGGCCGGTGATGGAGAGTGGTTCGGCTTAGCACTCGCAGGGGCAACGACCAACCGGAGGGTAAGCGTGGCGAGAACGGCGGTATCTAATTCAGGCTCACAACAACAGCTCCTGCGTGGTAAAGGTCTTTGAAGGTGCTGGATGCAATGTTGAAGGCGGCAATGCGCGTGGTCTTGATGTGGTGCGCTTGGTTGTGTGTGAGTATGCGTGTGTTTGGCCTTTTGTTTGGCGTTTGTTTTGGTTAATAGAAGGTGCTCCCAAATAGTCTAGGCGGTTAGGATACGTGGCTTTCACCCACGCGACCCGGGTTCGAGTCCCGGTTTGGGAATTTTGCTTTGCTTTTTCAATTCTTCGTTCCGCCATGTATATAGCGCTCGTTGTGCTTGCTGGTACGACGTTCGGATGACTGTATGGCCGGTAATGGAGAGTAGTTCGGCTTAGCACTCGCAGGGGCAACGACCAGCCGGAGGGTAAGCGTGGCGAGAACGGCGGTACCTAATTCAGGTTCACAACAACAGCTCCTGCGTGGTAAAGGTCTTTGAAGGTGCTGGATGCAATGTTGAAGGCGGCAATGCGCGTGGCCTTGATGTGGTGCGCTTGGTTGTGTGTGAGTATGCGTGTGTTTGGCCTTTTGTTTGGCGTTTGTTTTGGTTAATAGAAGGTGCTCCCAAATAGTCTAGGCGGTTAGGATACGTGGCTTTCACCCACGCGACCCGGGTTCGAGTCCCGGTTTGGGAATTTTGCTTTGCTTTTTCAATTCTTCGTTCCGCCATGTATATAGCGCTCGTTGTGCTTGCTGGTACGACGTTCGGATGACTGTATGGCCGGTGATGGAGAGTGGTTCGGCTTAGCACTCGCAGGGGCAACGACCAGCCGGTGGGTAAGCGTGGCGAGAACGGCGGTACCTAATTCAGGCTCACAACAACAGCTCCTGCGTGGTAAAGGTCTTTAAAGGTGCTGGATGCAATGTTGAAGGCGGCAATGCGCGTGGCCTTGATGTGGTGCGCTTGGTTGTGTGTGAGTATGCGTGTGTCTGGCCTTTTGTTTGGCGTTTGTTTTGGTTAATAGAAGGTGCTCCCAAATAGTCTAGGCGGTTAGGGTACGGGGCTTTCACCCACGCGACCCGGGTTCGAGTCCCGGTTTGGGAATTTTGCTTTGCTTTTTCAATTCTTCGTTCCGCCATGTATATAGCGCTCGTTGTGCTTGCTGGTACGACGTTCGGATGACTGTATGGCCGGTGATGGAGAGTAGTTCGGCTTAGCACTCGCAGGGGCAACGACCAGCCGGAGGGTAAGCGTGACAAGAACGGCGGTATCTAATCCAGGTTCACAACAACAGCTCCTGCGTGGTAAAGGTCTTTGAAGGTGCTGGATGCAATGTTGAAGGCGGCAATGCGCGTGGCCTTGATGTGGTGCGCTTGGTTGTGTGTGAGTATGCGTGTGTTTGGCCTTTTGTTTGGCGTTTGTTTTGGTTAATAGAAGGTGCTCCCAAATAGTCTAGGCGGTTAGGATACGTGGCTTTCACCCACGCGACCCGGGTTCGAGTCCCGGTTTGGGAATTTTGCTTTGCTTTTTCAATTCTTCGTTCCGCCATGTATATAGCGCTCGTTGTGCTTGCTGGTACGACGTTCGGATGACTGTATGGCCGGTGATGGAGAGTAGTTCGGCTTAGCACTCGCAGGGGCAACGACCAGCCGGAGGGTAAGCGTGGCGAGAACGGCGGTATCTAATTCAGGTTCACAACAACAGCTCCTGCGTGGTAAAGGTCTTTGAAGGTGCTGGATGCAATGTTGAAGGCGGCAATGCGCGTGGCCTTGATGTGGTGCGCTTGGTTGTGTGTGAGTATGCGTGTGTTTGGCCTTTTGTTTGTCGTTTGTTTTGGTTAATAGAAGGTGCTCCCAAATAGTCTAGGCGGTTAGGATACGTGGCTTTCACCCACGCGACCCGGGTTCGAGTCCCGGTTTGGGAATTTTGCTTTGCTTTTTCAATTCTTCGTTCCGCCATGTATATAGCGCTCGTTGTGCTTGCTGGTACGACGTTCGGATGACTGTATGGCCGGTAATGGAGAGTAGCTCGGCTTAGCACTCGCAGGGGCAACGACCAGCCGGTAGGTAATCGTGGCGAGAACGGCGGTATCTAATTCAGGTTTAAAACAACAGCTCCTGCGTGGTAAAGGTCTTTAAAGGTGCTGGATGCAAAGTTGAAGGCGGCAATGCGCGTGGCCTTGGTGTGGTGCGCTTGGTTGTGTGTGAGTATGCGTGTGTTTGGCCTTTTGTTAGGCGTTTGTTTTGGTTAGTAGAAGGTGCTCCCAAATAGTCTAGGCGGTTAGGATACGTGGCTTTCACCCACGCGACCCGGGTTCGAGTCCCGGTTTGGGAATTTTGCTTTGCTTTTTCAATTCTTCGTTCCGCCATGTATATAGCGCTCGTTGTGCTTGCTGGTACGACGTTCGGATGACTGTATGGCCGGTGATGGAGAGTAGTTCGGCTTAGCACTCGCAGGGGCAACGACCAGCCGGAGGGTAAGCGTGGCGAGAACGGCGGTATCTAATTCAGGTTCACAACAACAGCTCCTGCGTGGTAAAGGTCTTTGAAGGTGCTGGATGCAATGTTGAAGGCGGCAATGCGCGTGGCCTTGATGTGGTGCGCTTGGTTGTGTGTGAGTATGCGTGTGTTTGGCCTTTTGTTTGGCGTTTGGTTTGGTTAATAGAAGGTGCTCCCAAATAGTCTAGGCGGTTAGGGTACGTGGCTTTCACCCACGCGACCCGGGTTCGAGTCCCGGTTTGGGAATTTTGCTTTGCTTTTTCAATTCTTCGTTCCGCCATGTATATAGCGCTCGTTGTGCTTGCTGGTACGACGTTCGGATGACTGTATGGCCGGTAATGGAGAGTAGTTCGGCTTAGCACTCGCAGAGGCAACGACCAGCCGGAGGGTAAGCGTGGAGAGAACGGCGGTATCTAATTCGGGTTTAAAACAACAGCTCCTGCGTGGTAAAGGTCTTTGAAGGTGCTGGATGCAATGTTGAAGGCGGCAATGCGCGTGGCCTTGATGTGGTGCGCTTGGTTGTGTGTGAGTATGCGTGTGCTTGGCCTTTTGTTTGGCGTCTGTTTTGGTTAATAGAAGGTGCTCTCATATATTCTAGGCGGTTAGGATACGTGGCTTTCACCCACGCGACCCGGGTTCGAGTCCCGGTTTGGGAATTTTGCTTTGCTTTTTCAATTCTTCGTTCCGCCATGTATATAGCGCTCGTTGTGCTTGCTGGTACGACGTTCGGATGACTGTATGGCCGGTGATGGAGAGAGTTCGGCTTAGCACTCGCAGGGGCAACGACCAGCCGGAGGGTAAGCGTGGCGAGAACGGCGGTACCTAATTCAGGTTCACAACAACAGCTCCTGCGTGGTAAAGGTCTTTGAAGGTGCTGGATGCAATGTTGAAGGCGGCAATGCGCGTGGTCTTGATGTGGTGCGCTTGGTTGTGTGTGAGTATGCGTGTGTTTGGCCTTTTGTTTGGCGTTTGTTTTGGTTAATAGAAGGTGCTCCCAAATAGTCTAGGCGGTTAGGATACGTGGCTTTCACCCACGCGACCCGGGTTCGAGTCCCGGTTTGGGAATTTTGCTTTGCTTTTTCAATTCTTCGTTCCGCCATGTATATAGCGCTCGTTGTGCTTGCTGGTACGACGTTCGGATGACTGTATGGCCGGTGATGGAAAGTGGTTCGGCTTAGCACTCGCAGGGGCAACGACCAGCCGGAGGGTAAGCGTGGCGAGAACGGCGGTATCTAATTCAGGTTCACAACAACAGCTCCTGCGTGGTAAAGGTCTTTGAAGGTGCTGGATGCAATGTTGAAGGCGGCAATGCGCGTGGCATTGATGTGGTGCGCTTGGTTGTGTGTGAGTATGCGTGTATTTGGCCTTTTGTTTAACGTCTGTTTTGGTTAATAGAAGGTGCTCCCAAATAGTCTAGGCGGTTAGGATAAGTGGCTTTCACCCACGCGACCCGGGTTCGAGTCCCGGTTTGGGAATTTTGCTTTGCTTTTTCAATTCTTCGTTCCGCCATGTATATAGTGCTCGTTGTGCTTGCTGGTACGACGTTCGGATGACTGTATGGCCGGTGATGGAGAGTGGTTCGGCTTAGCACTCGCAGGGGCAACGACCAGCCGGAGGGTAAGCGTGGCGAGAACCGCGGTATCTATATTCAGGTGTCACACACAAGCTCCTCGCTGGTAAAGTTCTTGAAGGTGCTGGATGCAATGTTGAAGGCGGCAATGCGCGTGGCCTTGATGTGGTGCGCTTGGTTGTGTGTGAGTATGCGTGTGTTTGGCCTTTTGTCTGGCGTTTGTTTTGATTAATAGAAGGTGCTCCCAAATAGTCTAGGCGGTTAGGATACGTGGCTTTCACCCACGCGACCCGGGGTTCGAGTCTCGGTTTGGGAATTTTGCTTTGCTTTTTCAATTCTTCGTTCCGCCATGTATATAGCGCTCGTTGTGCCTTGCTGGGTACGACGTTCGGATGACTGTATGGCCGGTGATGGAGAGTGGTTCGGCTTAGCACTCGCAGGGGCAACGCCCAGCCGGTGGGTAAGCGTGGCGAGAACGGCGGTATCTAATTCAGGCTCACAACAACAGCTCCTTCGTGGTAAAGGTCTTTGAAGGTGCTGGATGCAATGTTGAAGGCGGCAATGCGCGTGGCCTTGATGTGGTGCGCTTGGTTGTGTGTGAGTATGCGTGTGTTTGGCCTTTTGTTTGGCGTTTGTTTTGGTTAATCGAAGGTGCTCCCAAATAGTCTAGGCGGTTAGGATACGTGGCCTCTCACCCGACGCGACCCGGGTTCGAGTCCCGGTTTCGAGAATTTATGCTTTGCTTTTTCAATTCTCCGTTCCGCCATGTATATAGCGCTCGTTGTGCTTGCTGGTACGACGTTCGGATGACTGTATGGCCGGTAATGAAGAGTAGCTCGGTTTAGCACTCGCAGGGGCAACGACCAGCCGGAGGGTAAGCGTGGCGAGAACGGCGGTATCTAATTCAGGTTCACAACAACAGCTCCTGCGTGGTAAAGGTCTTTGAAGGTGCTGGATGCAATGTTGAAGGCGGCAATGCGCGTGGCCTTGATGTGGTGCGCTTGGTTGTGTGTGAGTATGCGTGTGTTTGGCCTTTTGTTTGGCGTTTGTTTTGGTTAATAGAAGGTGCTCCCAAATAGTCTAGGCGGTTAGGATACGTGGCTTTCACCCACGCGACCCGGGTTCGAGTCCCGGTTTGGGAATTTTGCTTTGCTTTTTCAATTCTTCGTTCCGCCATGTATATAGCGCTCGTTGTGCTTGCTGGTACGACGTTCGGATGACTGTATGGCCGGTGATGGAGAGTAGTTCGGCTTAGCACTCGCCGGGGCAACGACCAGCCGGAGGGTAAGCGTGGCGAGAACGGCGGTATCTAATTCAGGTTTAAAACAACAGCTCCTGCGTGGTAAAGGTCTTTGAAGGTGCTAAATGCAAAGTTGAAGGCGGCAATGCGCGTGGCCTTGGTGTGGTGCGCTTGGTTGTGTGTGAGTATGCGTGTGTTTGGCCTTTTGTTTGTCGTTTGTTTTGGTTAATAGAAGGTGCTCCCAAATAGTCTAGGCGGTTAGGATACGTGGCTTTCACCCACGCGACCCGGGTTCGAGTCCCGGTTTGGGAATTTTGCTTTGCTTTTTCAATTCTTCGTTCCGCCATGTATATAGCGCTCGTTGTGCTTGCTGGTACGACGTTCGGATGACTGTATGGCCGGTGATGGAGAGTAGTTCGGCTTAGCACTCGCAGGGGCAACGACCAGCCGGAGGGTAAGCGTGGCGAGAACGGCGGTATCTAATTCAGGTTCACAACAACAGCTCCTGCGTGGTAAAGGTCTTTGAAGGTGCTGGATGCAATGTTGAAGGCGGCAATGCGCGTGGCCTTGATGTGGTGCGCTTGGTTGTGTGTGAGTATGCGTGTGTTTGGCCTTTTGTTTGGCGTTTGTTTTGGTTAATAGAAGGTGCTCCCAAATAGTCTAGGCGATTAGGATACGTGGCTTTCACCCACGCGACCCGGGTTCGAGTCCCGGTTTGGGAATTTTGCTTTGCTTTTTCAATTCTTCGCTCCGCCATGTATATAGCGCTCGTTGTGCTTGCTGGTACGACGTTCGGATGACTGTATGGCCGGTGATGGAGAGTGGTTCGGCTTAGCACTCGCAGGGGCAACGACCAGCCGGAGGGTAAGCGTGGCGAGAACGGCGGTATCTAATTCAGGTTCACAACAACAGCTCCTGCGTGGTAAAGGTCTTTGAAGGTGCTGGATGCAATGTTGAAGGCGGCAATGCGCGTGGCCTTGATGTGGTGCGCTTGGTTGTGTGTGAGTATGCGTGTGTTTGGCCTTTTGTTTGGCGTTTGTTTTGGTTAATAGAAGGTGCTCCCAAATAGTCTAGGCGGTTAGGATACGTGGCTTTCACCCACGCGACCCGGGTTCGAGTCCCGGTTTGGGAATTTGCTTTGCTTTTTCAATTCTTCGTTCCGCCACGTATATAGCGCTCGTTGTGCTTGCTGGTACGACGTTCGGATGACTGTATGGCCGGTGATGGAGAGTAGCTCGGCTTAGCACTCGCAGGGGCAACGACCAGCCGGAGGGTAAGCGTGGCGAGAACGGCGGTATCTAATTCAGGCTCACAACAACAGCTCCTGCGTGGTAAAGGTCTTTTGAAGGTGCTAAAATGCAAAGTTGAAGGCGGAATGCGCGTGGCCTTGGTGTGGTGCGCTTGGTTGTGTGTAAGTATGCGTGTGATTGGCCTTTTGGTTGGCGTTAGTTTTGAGTGAGAGAAAGGGCTCCCCAATAGTCTAGGCGGCTAGGATACGTGGCTTTCACCCACGCCGACCGGGTTCGAGTCCAGGATGGGAATTTGGCTTTGGCTTTTTCAATTCTTCGTTCCGCCATGTATATAGCGCTCGTTGTGCTTGCTGATACGACGTTCGGATGACTGTATGGCCGGTGATGGAGAGTGGTTCGGCTTAGCACTCGCAGGGGCAACGACCAGCCGGAGGGTAAGCGTGGCGAGAACGGCGGTATCTAATATAGGTTCACAACAACAGCTCCTGCGTGGTAAAGGTCTTTGAAGGTGCTGGATGCAATGTTGAAGGCGGCAATGCGCGTGGCCTTGATGTGGTGCGCTTGGTTGTGTGTGAGTATGCGTGTGTTTGGGCCTTTTTGTTTCGGCGTTTGTTTTTGATTAATTAGAAAGGGTGCTCCCACAATAGTCTAGAGCGGTTAGGGATAACGTGGGCTATCACGCCACGCGGACCCGAGTTCGAGTCCCCGGTTTTGGGAATTTTGCTTTGCTTTTTTCCAATTCTTCGTTTCCGCCATGTATATAGCCGCTCGTTGTGCTTGCTGGTACGACGTTTCGGATGACTGTATGGCCGGTAATGGAGAGTAGTTCGGCTTAGCACTCGCAGGGGCAAACGGCCAGCCGGAGGGGTAAGCGTGGCGAGAACCGGCGGTATCTAAATTCAGGTTCACAACAACAGCTCCTGCGTGGTAAAGGGTCTTTTGAAAGGTGCTGGATGCAATGTTGAAGGGCGGCAATGCGCGTGGCCTTGATGTGGTGCGCTTGGGTTGTGTGTGAGTATGCGTGTGTTTGGCCTTTTGTTTGGCGTTTGGTTTGGTTAATAGAAGGTGCTCCCAAATAGTCTAGGCAGTTAGGATACGTGGCTTTCACCCACGCGACCCGGGTTCGAGTCCCGGTTTGGGAATTTTGCTTTGCTTTTTCAATTCTTCGTTCCGCCATGTATATAGCGCTCGTTGTGCTTGCTGGTACGACGTTCGGATGACTGTATGGCCGGTGATGGAGAGTGGTTCGGCTTAGCACTCGCAGGGGCAACGACCAACCGGAGGGTAAGCGTGGCGAGAACGGCGGTATCTAATTCAGGCTCACAACAACAGCTCCTGCGTAGTAAAGGTCTTTGAAGGTGCTGGATGCAATGTTGAAGGCGGCAATGCGCGTGGTCTTGATGTGGTGCGCTTGGTTGTGTGTGAGTATGCGTGTGTTTGGTCTTTTGTTTGGCGTTTGTTTTGGTTAATAGAAGGTGCTCCAAAGATAGTCTAGGCGGTTAGGATACGTGGCTTTCACCCTTCTACTGCCGGGTTCGAGTCCCGGTTTGGGAATTTGCTTT